TTTTGAATTTTCAAATTTGGACAATTTTAGTATTTCTCACGAATATGATGTGGGAATTCGAATCATTGACCTTAAATTAGTAGGAAACGAGTACCATGATCGTACTGTTCCTTACTTTTGGAGTTTCAAATTAATTTTTTGGTTATTTTTTTGAATTTTTAAATTTGAACAATATTTTAATATTTTCGACGATTCTTATGTCAGATTTCGAATCATTGACCTTAAATTAGTAGGAAACGAGTACCATGAACGTATTGTTTCATTTTTTTGAAATTCCAAATTAGGTTTTTTGAATTTTGAAATTTTAGGAAATTTTAGACTGAAAATTATGATTTTTAATATACTTGGCGGTGATGACGAAATATAGTAATAATAATAAAAATAATAATAATAGTAATAATAGTAGTAGTAGATAGAAATAAAAAAAAAAAACAATTCACAGTTATAAACTATACAAATTTTCGATAATTCTGATGTCGGATTTCGAATCATTGACATTAAGTTAGTAGGAAACGAGTACCATGATCATATTGTTCCATTTTTTTTGAAAATCCAAAATAATTTTACAAAATTTTTTTTTTTTTTTTGAATTTTCAAATTTGGGAAATTTTGGACTGAAAATTATATGATTTTTAACATTTTTGGCGGTAAATTTACCAACGACTGTCAATTGTACTAATCAAAACTAAATGTTATATCGTATTTACAACTAAAATAAAAAAAAAAAATTGAAAATTCAAAAATCAAAAAAATTTTGAAAATGCAATTCGAAATTTTTGAAAAAAACAACACTATCTTCATGGTACTCGTTTTCTACTAATATAAGGTCAACGTTTTCAAATCTGACATCATAATTACCAAATATTATTATTATTCGTAAAAACAGTTTTTTTTTTTAAATCAGTATACTTTAATGTTATTCGTATGTTAAAAATGTAATTTTTTTTATGTATGTATATATATTTCTGTTTGATTGAGTAAATGTTTGACTTTCATTAAAACGACAAATTGCCTAACATTTTATGCATTTGTCTACATGTGTACTTTGGATTCTGTTTTGTTTCTGCTTTATTTAGATTTTAATTTGAGCACAATTTTTTTATTTACAAAATCTATATTTTGTCTAGAAAAACAATTACTTTGCTGCAGCCTGACAAACAAAAAAAATCGAACATTTTTTATATTATTGGAAAATTTTTTTTCAAAATTTCATTTTTTCAAAATATTATACATTGGTGATTATTATTATTATTATTATTATTATTATTATTATTATTATTATTATATATATATAATATAAACTCTCCAAAGAGTCAAACGTGCTTCGTGAGCTTAATAGAATCTGAGAATGGTCCGATAAGAATTACATAGTCGAAAAATGCGATATGCGTGTCCGTATAAATGCGCGTAATACATATGTATATACCACACTCACATCAGATCTCAAAAGATAACAGAAGTAATTTCGAGTTTGGAGAAGTTCTTTAAAAAAAAAAAAAAAAAAAAAAAATATCTAGATTGACGACAGTTTCATTATTTCTTTTTTGTTTAAATCACAAAAATGAAGTATGAACATATTATTATAGACTTCAATTTATTTTAAAACACACTGTCAAATATCTTTCAATTTTTTTTTTTAATTTCAAAATTTTTAGCAAAATTTAAAAAAAATTTTTTTTTTTTTAAATTATAAATCACTGTATATTTAAAGCATTAATGTTTTATGTAACTTTCATTAAATACCAACTAGCAATAATTGTATTCTATTCATTAGATTTGGAAATACATATTTCCAAAAACAAATTAAAAAAAAATTTTTTAAATAATTTTAGTAATTTTTTTTTTTTTTTTTTTTTTTTTTTTTTTGTAATGAATTACTGTCAATATTGTACTTGTTTTCTACTAACATAATGTCGAGGATTCCAAAAAGCGTATTTACAGATACAAAAAGATTGAAAATTGAAAAATCAAAAAAATTTTGAAAATGTAATTCGAAATTTTTGAAAAAAAAGAACACTATCTTCATGGTACTCGTTTTCTACTAACATAAGGTCAAGGATTTCGAATCTGATAACAGATATATCTATTAATAATATTATTATTATTATTATTATTATTATTATTATCATCATTTTTGTTATTATTATTATTATTATTTTTGTTATTATTATTATTATTATTATTATTATTATTCGTAGTTATCATCATTTATAACTTTTCTAATAATCCATAAATCGATACTAAAATTAATTTTTTCGTATTTACAAATTGAAAAAAATCAAAAGTTCAAAAATGAAAAAAATTTTGAAATTTTCAAAAAAAAAACATTATTGTCATGGTACGCGTTTTCTACTAATATACGGTCAAGGATTCCAAATGTGACAAAAAAATTGTCTAATATTATCATTAATCGCAGTTATCAATTATTATTATTATTATTATTATTATTATTATTATTATTATTATTATCAATCATCGTAACTGTCGTCGTTTGTAAATACTCACAATTGTTTATTTCACATCTTCGAACTAGATTGTTATATATCGGATTTACGAAGTAAAAAAAAATTCAAAAACCAAAAAAATTTTGAAATTAAAAAAAAAAACCCCTATCGTCATTGTACTTGTTTTCTACTAACATATGGTCGATGATTCCAAATATGACATAAAAAATATCGAATATTATCATTATTTGCAGTTATCAATTATTATTATTATTATTATTATTATTATTATTATTATTATTATTCGTAGTTATCATCATTTATAACTTTTCTAATAATCCATATATCAATACTAAAATTAATTTTTTCGTATTTACAAATTGAAAAAAAATCAAAAGTTCAAAAATGAAAAAAATTTTAAAATTTTCAAAAAAAAAAACATTATCGTCATGGTACGCGTTTCCTACTAATATACGGTCAAGGATTCAAAATGTGACAAAAAAAATGTCTAATATTATCATTGATCGCAGTTATCAATTATTATTATTATCAATCATTGTAACTGTCGTCGTTTGTAAATACTCACGATTGTTTATTTCACATCTTCGAACTAGATTGTTATATATCGGATTTACGAAGTAAAAAAAAATTCAAAAACCAAAAAAATTTTGAAATTAAAAAAAAAACCCCTATCGTCATTGTACTTGTTTTCTACTAACATATGGTCGATGATTCCAAATATGACATAAAAAATATCGAATATTATCATTATTTGCAGTTATCAATTATTATTATTATTATTATTATTATTCGTAGTTATCATCATTTATAACTTTTCTAATAATCCATATATCAATACTAAAATTAATTTTTTCGTATTTACAAATTGAAAAAAAATCAAAAGTTCAAAAATGAAAAAAATTTTGAAATTTTCAAAAAAAAAAAAAAACATTATCGTCATGGTACGCGTTTCCTACTAATATACGGTCAAGGATTCAAAATGTGACAAAAAAAAATGTCTAATATTATCATTGATCGCAGTTATCAATTATTATTATTATCAATCATTGTAACTGTCGTTGTTTGTAAATACTCACGATTTTTTATTTTACATCTTCGAACTAGATTGTTATATATCGGATTTACGAAGAAAAAAAAAATTCAAAAACCAAAAAAATTTTGAAATTAAAAAAAAAACCCCTATCGTCATTGTACTTGTTTTCTACTAACATATGGTCGATGATTCCAAATATGACTTTAAAAATATCGAATATTATCATTATTTGCAGTTATCAATTATTATTATTATTATTATTATTATTATTATTATTATTATTATTATTATTATTAACAATCATTGTAACTGTTACTATTGTTAATTTTCAAATCAAAACTATTCGTATTTATATATTAAAAAAAATTCAAAAATTAAATTTTTTTTTGAAATTTTCCAAAAAAAAAAAAAACACTAGCTTCATGGTACTCCTTTTCTACTAATATAAGGTCGGGGATTTCAAATCTACCATTAGAAATTCTGTATATTCTCACCCTTCATAATTACCATACCTTCAAGCATGCGCAGTATCATTTTTGTCTCTTTAGAGCTTGCGCAAAAAAGTTTTTCCTGCCTTCTGCAGCTGCGCAGTGACACTTCTCATCCTTCACGCATGCGCAGTAGTCCCTATCAAGTTTTTCGTGAATTATAATTTTTTTTTTCTTTTTTTTTTTTAAATTCTTTTTATTGTGGCGCGACGTCACCTGCAACGCGAAAGAGGAAGAGGTAGTAGCGTGTACATATAGAAAGGGAGAGAAAGGCGCCGGTTCGGTTTGGAGCCTTTTGATACCTTACAAACACAAATTTATATTTCGAACGTTGTCGTGTATGTGTATGTGTGTGTGTGTGTGTGCGTCTCACTCACCCCGCGCCAACACGTTCCGCTGCTGCGCCCCCTTCGCGCTCAAACTCCCGACAAGCAGGCCAAATTCTTGTTCTTCGCCAGTGCGACTCGAGAATCGCACGCGTGCGGTTCACCTGACACCTTCTTAACCACTACCCCTCTCTCTCTCTCTCTCTTATCAGGAAAAAAAAAAATTCCTCCTCTCTCTCTCTCTCTCTATCTCCGATTTTAGTGATAAAAAAAAAATTCCCCAGTGTTTAAAAAAAAAAAAAAAAAAAAAAAATTGTGCGGGAAGTGAATTTAAAAAAAAAAAAAAAACGCATTTTTTCTTATTTAATCTTTATATGACCGTCGGAAAGTTTCGTGTGATTTTTTTTTCATCGACCAAAAAAAAAAAGGGGGGTGGGGGGATAGTTTAAAATCGAGTTGCATCGTTTTTTTTTTTTTTTTTTATTAAAATCCAAAATTTAAATTTTTTTTTTTTTTGGAAATAATATTGAATTTTTGCAAATTTTTGTGAAGGGATTTTTAATTTTCAATTATTTTTGAAAATTTGTGCGCATTGATTTTTAATTTTTTTTTGGGGGGGAAATTTTTGGTTTTTAGTGAAAAGTTTTTTGGTTTAATTATATTGAAATTGTGGGGGGGGAGGGGACTTTTAAAAATAATGTTTTTGAATTAATTGGGAGGGTTTTTTTTTTTTTTTTTTTTTTGGGGTGGAGGGTAATTTTAGTTATTTGTGTTTTTTTTATTATTTATGGCGTTAATTATTGGTAATTACTTATTAATATAAATAGTGAAATATTATAAATTGGTTTACGAATAAGGGGCAAATTTTTTTTTTTATGCCCCTTTAACTATAAATAAATAAAAAAAAAAAAAAAAAAAAACATAATAAAATCTAAATGCAGTAAAATACAAAATATAGTCAAATATAATAATAATAATAACAACAATAATAATAACAAAAATAATAATAATAATAATAATAATAATCATAATAATAGTAAAACAAAAAGTATAATAAAATTTATAAATACAGTAAATTATGAATATAGTAAAATAATCGGTAAAATATTTTCGTAAAATATAAATGTAATAAAACACGTAAATACAGTAAAATAAAAAATATAGTCAAATATAATAAAAATAATAGTAATAATAATAATAATAATAAGAATAATAATAATATAATAGTAAAACAAAAAGTATAATAAAATTTATAAATACAGTAAATTGTAAATATAGTAAAATAATCGGTAAAATAATTTCGTAAAATATAAAATGTAATAAAACACGTAAATACAGTAAAATACAAAATATTTAGTCAAATATAAATGTATAGTAAAAAATAAATATAATATAAAATAGAAATAAAAAATAAATATAATAAAAAAAAAAATAATTTCTAATTTACTAAAACAAAAATTTAATTTATTAAAAATCATTTTCAATTTAGTTGAAATTACAATGAAAATTAATTAATAAAAATAATAATAACTATATAGAAATTAGATAATTTAGCAAAAAAAAAAAAAAAAAACGTTTTTTGAAATTAATATTAAAAATTAATAAATGGAATAAAGTATTACTATTATTATTATAATAATAATAAAATAATAATTATTATAAAGTAATAATAATAATAACAATAATAATTATAAAATAATAATAATTATAAAATAATAATAATAATAATGATAATAATTATAAAATAATAATAATAATAATTATAAAATAACAATAATTATCAAAAAATAATAATAATAAATCTAAAAAAATTTTTAAAGAAACCAATTTTAAGCAAATTAATATAAAGTAACTATTAATTAGTAATTAGTAATAAATAATTAGCTATAATGAAATTTAAGAAAAAAAATTTTTTTTTTTTAGAATAAAACGGATTAAAAATTATTTGCAAATTTCAAAAAAAAAAAAAAAAAAAAAAAAAAAAAAAAAAAAAAAAAAAAAAAAAAAAAAACTATCGTTTGGAGAATGAAGAAGATTAATATGATTTAAAAGAGCCGTGAGGACAGTGAAAACAAAAATGCGAATAGGTGTGAGGGATGAGTCAGGTGAATTAGAATCGGAAGTGAGGAAAAGGAAGAAGATGTTGGTAGAGGAGGTGAGAAGGAAGTGAGAACTTAAAAAAAAAAAATAAATAAATAAAAGAAAAGAAAAAAGAAAAAAAAAAAAGGAAGAAAAAGAGAAAAAAAAATCGAAAGGGATTCCAAGGCACATATATATATATATATATATACATATAGAAATATATATATCAAGCAGTGGGAACCGGGCGAGAAATCGCTCGTCGGTTATGCGCTCAAATTATGCGTCTCGCGCCTTGGAGCAGCGGCGGCGGCGTCAACGCCGGTGGCGGTGGCGGCCGCGGACCATCGGCACGAAGAGCGCCAACGCTGTCAAACGTTTGCGCTCGTTGATAATTTGCCGGATTTTTTCATTAATAATTTCATGTCCCAACAATTGGCAACAATTTAACAATTATAATAATATACAATATTTACATTGTGAACGACATTTTATTATTCAGGTATCAATTATTTTAAACCCATCAATTATTATAATCGAATTTTCCCAATCTTCCACTCTTCTTTTTTGGATATAAATTTTTCATTCATGAATTTAATTCGATTTTTTATTACATTTTTTTTTTTTTTGCTTTTTTTTTAATTTGTTAATTAACAAATTTATTTTACTTTTTAAATTATTTCAATTGTTTTTATTGAATTTTAATTTATTAATTAAGATTTTTATTTTCTTTTTTTAAATTTAATAGATAACAAATTTTTTTTTTTAATTTATTTAATTTTTTTTTTTTAAATTAATTTTATTTAATTTTTTTTTTTTAATTAATTTTAATTTTTTTAATTTAATTTTAATTTAATTAATATTTTTATTTTCTTTTTATTTTCTTTTTATTTTTATTTTCTTTTTATTTTCTTTTTACATTCTTGTTATTTTCTTTTTATTTTCTTTTTATTTTTAATTTGTTAATTAACAAATTTATTTTTATTTTCTTTTATTTTTATTTAATTTGTCTTTAATTTCAATTTGGTAATTAACGAATTTTTTTTTTTTCAATTTTTTTTTCTAATTTTAATTTATTAAGAATTTGTTCAAAATTCAATTTGTCTTCTTTTATTTTCAATTTTTTTTTGGAATTTTTCACTTTAACTTTAATTTATTAATTAACAACTTTATTTTAGTTTTATTTTATATTTATTTAATTTTGTTTTTTTCAATTTTTAATTATTAAATTAATTTTATATTTATTTTACTGTTTATTTAATTTTTTTTTTTTTTTTTAGTTTTTACCAAAGAATCTTGTTTTCTTTTTATTAATTTTTTATTGTTAATAAATTTAAATTTTTTAAATTTAATTTTAATTTAATTAATATTTTTATTTTCTTTTTATTTTTTTAATTTGTTAATTAACAAATTTTCTTTTAATTTAGTTAAGATTTTTATTTTCTTTTATTTCGATGTAATTTGTCTTTAATTTGAATTTGTTAATTAACGAATTTTTGTTTATTTTATTCAATTTTTTTTTCTAAATTTAATTTATTAATTAACAATTTGTTTAAAATTCAATTTTTCTTTTTTTATTTTTATTTTTTTTTTTTAATTTTTTCCTGTAACTTTAATTTATTAATTAACAACTTTATTTTAGTTTTATTTTATATTTATTTAATTTAGTTTGTTTTTTTAAATTTTTAATTATTAAATTAATTTCATATTTTACTGTTTATTTAATTTTTTTTTTTTTTTTTTTTAGTTTTTACCAAAGAATCTTGTTTTCTTTTTATTAATTTAATTTTTTTTTTAATTTTCTTTAATTTTAAATTGTTAATTAAAAAAAATTAATTATTTTTTGATTTCTCTTTTATTTATTTTTTTTCCTTATTTCAATTTGTTAATTAATGTAAATTTTTTTTTTTTTATTTACCGAAAACTATTTTGATAAACAAATATTTTGAAGTTCCAATTTGATGTTTTTTTATTTTGTTTTTTACTCTACATTTTTCTTTGGTAACTTTTTCTAATCACATTTCTCCCCCCTTCCCCTCTTTTATTATTATTATTATTATTATTATTTCAATAAAAAGTCATTTAGAAAAAAAACCGTTAGAATTTTTTTTTTTTTTTTTGACATTTGACGATGTCTTTGAAGATGATAATAATAATAATAATGATGATGACGATGACGATAATGATAAACCGTTCTAATTTAGGACCTTGCCCTCAAGGCTTCTTCTCTTCGAATCACACCTCCGACGGACGCCCTTGATACAACTTCACAAGAGGAACTTGATACGAGGCAAGATTGAGAGTGTGTTTTGTGTTGTTTTTTTTTTATTGTGAATTTTCCTGAACGCAAAAAAGGAAAACCAAAAAAAAAAGAAAAAAAAAAGTGAAAATTTTACCCTTTATCCCCAAGTGAATTGTGACTAATATTTAAGTGTTGAACGAAGAAAAAAAAAAGAAGAAGAAAAAATCGACGTTTTTTTTTTTTTTTTTTTTTTTTGCAGAAACAGTGATTCTGTAAGCGATTGTGTTTAGAATTTCATAGATAGACACATACACAGGACCAGAAACGGAAATTTCTCTCAGCACCTTCTTCCCCTTTTCGGTGAGTAGTATTTTTTTAATCGAATTCCAATTCTATTTTTCTCATGCGTTACGATTTAAAAAAAAAAAAATGGAAAAGGAGAATTTTTAGATTTTAAGAGAAAAATTTAATTTTATTACTGATTTTTGGAAAAAAGTATTTTGAATTTTTTTAATTATTATGGATAAATTTTTTAATTTTCGAAAAATAATTAAGAAAACACTATTTTGAATGGTTTTTTTTTTTTTTTTTTTTTTTTGTAAAAATTGGTGAATTTTAAATTGTAAATTGGTATGAAAAAAAATTTATCGAATCTAAATTTAAAAAAAAGAAGGAAAGAATGACGAAAAAAATTTGAAAATGCAATTTGAAATTTTTGAAAAAAAATAACACTAGTGTCATGATACTTGTTTTCTACTAAAACAGGGTAGAATATTCCAAATGTTACATAATAAATGTCGAATATTACCAAAATTTGAAGTTACTATAATTTTCTTTAAATAAAAATGTCATTTTTGGAATCCCCGACCTAATGTTAGTAGAAAACGAGTTACATGAAACTAGCGTTATTTTTTACAAAATTTTTTTCATTTTTTCATTTTTGAAATTATTTTAATTTCAAATTTTAATAATATTCTAAATTTCTAATGTCAGATTTGAAATCCTTGACCTTGTGTTAGTAGAAAACGAATACCATGACACTAGTGTTCTTTTTTTTCAAAAATTAGAATTTTATTTTGAAAATTTTTTTCCATTTTTGAATTCCGATTTTTTTTATTTTTTTTTTATTTGTAAATACAGTATAGTAATAATATTTTAATTTCGATTTATCGGTTACTAGATAATTTAAAATACATAATTCGAAATTTCCGCGTATTTTTTTGAAAAAAATAGTTTTAACTTTAATTTATTTCATTATTCGCCAATTATGAAGTGAGTTTTGAAATCCTTGACCTTGAATTAGTAGAAAAGGAGTACCATAATCGTAATGTTCCTTACTTTTGGAATTTCCAATTTTTTTTTTATTCTTTTTTTGAATTTTCGGACAATTTTAGTATTTCTGACGATTCCTTATGTCAGATTTCGAATCCTTGACCTTGAATTAGTAGAAAACGAGTACCATGAAGCTCGTATTCTTTTTTTCAAAAAAATTTTCATTTTGTATTTTCGAAATTTTTTTCTGAATTTTGAGTTTCAAATTTTTTTTTTTCATTCAATTGGTTTGTAACAAGTAAAATCGGTGTTATTAGTAAGAAATATCAGTAAGAGGACGTTCATAAACTACGTTACCTATTTTAGGGGGGGGGGAGGGGGTCAAAAAATCTAAAAAAAATGCATTTAACGCAATGGTAACGAGGGGGGGGAGGGGGTCTAAAAAGAATGAAGAAGTGGTAACGTAGTTTCTGGACGGCCCCTAACGATTATTGATAGTTACGATTAATAACAAAAAAAAAAAAAAAATCCAAAACTCAAAAAAAAATTTTTAAAATTCGAAATTTTTGAAAAAAAAAGAATACTAGCGTCATGGTACTCGTTTTCTACTAATATAAGGTCAAGGATTCCAAATATCACGTCATAATTGGCGAATAATAAAATAGTTTTAAAAAACAATTATTTTCTTCCAAAAAAAAAAAAAAACCCAAAGAAATTTAAACCATGAATATACTTTGAATTTTTTTGTTGTCCAATAACCCATAAATCGATACTAAAAGAAAATTTTATATTATCTTTTTGAAAAAAAATTTTCAAAAATCAAATTTTTTTTTGAAATTTTCAAAAAAAAAAATAATACTACCGTCATGGTACTCCTTTTCTACTAACTTGATGTCAAGAATTCTAAATTTAACATTGGAAATTTTTGCATATTGTCACACAATTAATTTCTTCGAAAAAATTCGTTATTTTGAATAATAAAAAAGTATTTAAATAAATCCCGTTGGAATTCTATATTATAATAGAATGATGGACAGTGGAGAGTAATTTTCGTATATCTGAATTTAGGGGGAAAAACTGTTTCCTGAAAACGGTTAACAAAAAAAAAAAAGAAAAAAAAACATATATATATATATATATATTCCGAAAAGGGTTGTCGGTGCGTGAGCGTGTCAGTTAATTGCGAGTTCGAGGCGTGAAGGCGATCGCGCGTGCATACACCCATAATTATATTCTTTATACTCTTTGCTCATATAGTATAAGTTCTGGACTTGAAAATCTCCCTCTTTTATACTCTTTTCCTCTTCTTCCGTTTGAAGACTTGCGCCATTTCTGGCAAAAAAAAAAAAAAAAAAAAAAAAAAAAAAAAAAAAAAAAAATTAGCGCTCGTAAAAAATTTCAATCGCACATTTTTTTTCTATCTCATTGTCTTTTTTTTTTGGTTCTCGTCTATATAGGAACCCCCCCCCCTTTATAGGAACCTTAAAACATAAAAAATATTTTTTGAAATTAAAAAAAAAATCATTTTTGTTATTATTTTTATTACTATTATTATTATTATTATTATTATTATTATTATTATTATTATTGCTATTATCGTTACTATAACTATTATTATTATTACTTTTTTTATTTTTATTATTATTATATTTTTTTTGCATATGAAAGTGTTATAATAATTGACTGAAATTGATCGAACAGAGACGAGATAAATTAATGAACAACGACTGGATTTTGTGTTTTGATTTGAATTTAATGATCTTGTTTAACATGACATTGAGTACATTGTTTTTGATGGTTATATGTTTTCATTTTTTTTTTTTTTTTTTTTCTTTTTTATTTATTTAACCGGGCGTTTTTTAAGTACTTAAAAATAGGCTTTTAAGCACCTTGTTCCCAGCAGGATCATTTCGACTTTTATCTTTACTTCCCCGCATCGTAAATCACCACACACACACACATACACCCACCTATATACATACATATATACAATATATATATATATAAAAAAATAATAAAATAATTTTTTTTTTTAATATATATAAATATAGAATCTTGTTTTTATTGAAAAAAAAAAAAATTCAGTAACAAACTCATTTGCCCTGTAAAATTAACTGCAATATTTCTTAAATTGCGGATAGTAAAATAAATGAGGAGAAATGCTATATATTTATTGCAAAAAAAAAAAGATTATGTTAAAAAACCCACGCGATTTCAGAAAATATAACCTTATCAATTTTATTTTATTTTTCGTGTATTTGTGGCTTCTTATACAACATATATATATATATATATATGAATTGACAAACTAGAAAATTCAAAGAAAAATAAATTATATATTGTATGCGTGTACCTTTTGTAATATAGTTGACATTGATTTTCGTTTTATAATTTGAAAAAAAAAAAAATTTATTATATGATTTTCTTTAAGACATTTTATTGGTTTTTGTGTAAAAAAAATTTATTGCTTACCGGTAAAAAAAAATCAATTTTTTACCACGGATTGTTATTGTTTTTATAATAAAAAAGAGGCGAAAATCAAAAAAATTTGAAATTTTTGAAAAAGTGGCATGGAACTCGTTTTTTACTAATATAAGCTCGAGGATTTCAAATGTGACACAATATTTGATATTTCTAATATTATATTTGGAATCCTTGACCTTATATTAGTAGAAAAGGAGTACCATGAAGCAAGTGGTTTTTTTTTTTGAAAATTTCAAAAAAATTTTGATTTTTGAATTTTTTTTAATACGTAAATACGATTAGTTTCGATTTGTAAAATTAATAATAGTGACAGTTACAATGATCGAAAATAATAATAATAATAATAATAATAATAATAATAATAATTATTATTTTTGATAACTGCAAATAATGATAATATTCGATATTTTTTATGCCATATTTGGAATCCTCATCCTTATATTAGTAGAAAACGAGTACCATGACGCTAGTGTTCTTTTTTAAAAAAAATTCAAATTTTGTTTTCAAAATTTTTTTTGATTTTTGAATTTACCCTTTTTTTATTTTTAAATACGATATAGTAATCTTTTAGTTTCGATTTATGGCTTATTACAAAACAAAACAAAATGCATGGTTCACATCCCTATGGATTTTTTTGAAAAAAAAATTATTGTAACTTCAAATTGTAATAATATTCCACATTTATGATGTGATATTTGGTATCCTTAACCTTATGTTAGTAGAAAACGAGTATCATGACGCTAGTGTTCTTTTTTTCAAAAATTTCGAATTGTATTTTCAAAATTTTTTTTTGGTTTTTTGAATTTCTTATTTTTATTCACAAATATTTTATATGATATTTGGAATCCTCGTCCTTGAATTAGTAGAAAACGAGTACCATGAAGCTCCTGTTCTTTTTTTTTTTCAAAAAATGTTTATTTTTTATTTTTGAAAATTTTTTCCGAATTTTGAGTTACAAATTTTTTTTTTTTTTTGTACAATTTGTTAAATTTTTTTGTAACTAGTATTTAAAATCGGTGATAATAATAAGAAATGTTAGTAACGGTTAATTTTAATTAAAAAAAAAAACTATTTAGAAACCAAAAAAAATTTTGAAAATACAATTCGAAATTTTTGAAAAAAAGAACACTAGCTTCATGGTAATCGTTATCTACTAACATAATGTCAAGAATTTCAAATTTCACATTATAAATGTCGAATACTAAAATTTGAATTTACAATAGTTTATAAAACTCAAAAATGGAAAAAAATTTGAATTTTTTTTTTTCAAAAAAACAATTTGAGTGACATGGTACTCGTTTTCTACTAACATAAGGTCAAGGATTTCGAATCTGATAACAAATATCTATTATTATTATTATTATTATTTTTGTTGTTATTATTATTATTATTATTATTATTATTATCAATCATTGTAACTGTCGCTATTGTTTATTTTCAAATCGATACTATTCGTATTTACGTATTAAAAAAAATTCAAAAATTAATATTTTTTTTGAAATTTTCAAAAAAAAAAACACTAGTTTCATGGTACTCCTTTTCTACTAATATAAGGTCGGGAATATCAAATCTACCATTAAAAATTTTGCATATTACCACTATTT